TCACTTCTTCATCGTATGCCATTTTTGGAAAAATTATCTTTATATCTTCGTGTAAAAGGTCGAAATAGAGTCATCGATGGTACTTATATTCAACATGATATTCTTGATTATATGCCACAACTTCATTCATTCACTTTCTATATTAGTACTTTTATCAATACAATCGATTTATTTTATAAATTATCAAATGAAGATATTCAACAAACAATCACAAATATTGGACAACATGATGTGGCTAGTATGGTTAATTATATTACTAATAATAAACCCGAAGGTTCGATTTTCTCACTTCCTTTTACATTTGATTATCTTGAAGGACTCGGCAATGCATTTCCAAATATTATATTCAGTTATGTCACATTTTTACTTGTTCAAGATATTGGTGGTTTCAAACATGAGTTCTTCATTCGACTTGCGCGATCATTTCCATTACTGAAATGTCTACATATTATGAATGTCCAATCACAGTTGTCGTATGATCTCAATGATCTCAATACATTTCTAACTGATAATACTCAATCATATTCGCTTATCGAATATCCTCATCTTACTTCACTTGATTTGAGATATGCAAATGAATGTTATCTCGAACAATTCCTCAATGAAACAAAAGCATATGTACCTTGTCTAATGGAATTAGGTGCCGTCGCTTTTCTCTTGGAAAAGGTAACAAATAACTTCACAAGAGAAGATACAAGACGCAATTGTACAAAAGTGGAAAAATTATATTTATTGGGATCATTGAAACACTCAAAAGATGTCTGTCATTATTTACCTTCATTAAAATTCTTTTTGTAATTCTTCTTGTTTATTTAATAAACTCAAAAAAGATCTTATAAATTAAGTTTATTGAACGCTGGCATGTAAACGTCGATCTTAAAAAAAAGAAGGAAGAGAGAGGATTCAACTAGTCTTTTTGGAAAATGTGCTATTTCAGTAACTATTCTACCCAAACTAAATAGAATAAAATATTGTACTGAATCAACAAAAATTTTTCTAATAATGTCATCTTACAAATCTCATCGAATTTTTCTTTTTGGTTTTGATAATAGGATTTTATCAAGCCAAGAACGTGATTCTTT